TCATTCATCTAATTCTAAAATAATTCGAGATGAAATAAAACTTATAATTCTTTAAATCCATTCGAATTTTGTTTGAATGATTTTAATTTGATATTAATCTTAATCTATCCTATCTTATTTCACGATTAAAAAATTTTCTCTCATCTTATATATTTTCTTAGTTTCATAATCAAAGTATTAAAATATGATTATGATCAAATTCTAAGAATTATTAAATATATTATTCAATATATCTATTAAATAACGATAATCGAAATTATTAAAGCTTCTTAAGGGAACTTCTCATGTTTCCTGAGTTTAAATTTTTAGTTTTTTTTAATGTTTCGCATATAGATTTAAATGCTCTTCATCTAATGAGCGCGTTTTAAGGAAGCAAAATCACCTTTTTGCATGTAAAAAAACTCAGTTTTATACTGAAAAAAGCAGACTTTTTAAACAAAAAATTCAAGTTTTTCTCCCTTTTCTTCTAAATAGTACAACCAATTTTTTAATGAGTGCTTCGATCAAATTTTAATGGTTTTTTGATAGCATCTTCAGTGTTTTAAACAAGCACCCGAATTTGTTCCTAGTTGTTGCAGAAAAATATTCAGCCCACAAGAACTTAGTATGTTGGTTTACCTGTGGAAGAAAAACTTTAGGTTATTCTTGACCCTTGATCTCCCAAAATCTCCCTGAAGAAAACATTTTGGAAATTCTTAGTCTATGACAACTTTTATTCTACTCATCGAGAGCTATCTATCCTGAAAATTTCAAAAAATTTCGCCAAACCATTGTTCTCGAGAAACATTGGAAAGAGGAGATTTCCCTTTCCTGATCCATTTTCGATTTTTTATTTTCTGTTGTTTTTCTGATCTTTATAGACGTTGAAGTATTTTCAAAATATTTTTCATCGGCTAATAATAACATTTTCTTAATCAACCAGATTTAGAAAATATTTTTGAGGAAAAAACATTGAATTTTATAGAAGTATATATTGAATCATACATCGATAATCACTAGCAGAAGTGAACGAGAGCTCTAAAAATAATCTGAGTTTGATTAACTAGAACCTTTCAAAATTTTCTTTTGCCTTTGGCGACTAAGACTATATGCCTAACAAAACATTTTCAACAGTGAAAAAGTTCACAATACAACATCGTTTTTCCTCGTGAAATATTTCTGCATTACCATTAGAATTTTTCCCAATAAACCAGATCAGAATCTCGTCTTTCGAAGCCCATATTTTGGCTTCTTATGCGAGTTGCGATTTTTTTTCTGATCTGCATCACTATTACACATTGCAAAATATGAATTCGATAGATAGGACACTAACTGTATTTTATCTAACGAGGGAAGGTCTCCAAGTGATCCATCGCTTTTAAGTTGGAACTATGTACATCGTAACGAGCTATGAATACTGGGAAAAGAGTTCGAGTTCATAGTTTGTTGCTATTGAGATAGGGTATTTTTCCGGTATTTGTTAGCACAATCCCATGGTTCCCTTCCGGAACATCAGAAAAACTTATTTTCGAATTTCGACTTGAAATTTTGCACAAAGACAGATCTTAATTAGAGTGGTTTATCATGAAAATTTCAAATCTTTTCATTGTTTCTATCTTAGGATATATGTATGGTGACAGAGGGCTTTTCATATCACTTATGGAAGCAGATTTTGAAGTTCTTATTTCTGATTAGGAACACTCGAAAAAGCTGAAATTTTCAAAATAAACCATTTTCATCAAGATTTGTCTCTATGCAAAGTTTCAAGTCGAAATTCGAAAAAAAAGTTTTTCTAGTACTCTTGAAGAAGATCACGGCACTGTGCTTATAAATACCGTAAGAATGCAGTATGTCAACAGCAATAAACTATGGGTACAAACTTTTTTCACAATATTCATAACTTGTTATAACGTACATGATGCACATAGTCCCAACTTACAAACAATGGATCGCTTGAGGATATTCTCTCTTAAGCAGCATTCAAATATTCGTCTTCGCTCATTTTTAATATCTAGATGAGAATCTTATAAAAAAATGCTAAGCGTGCTCCTAGAATCAAGAGGTTCCGCCGATTATGTCTACTGGATATATTTGAAGAATTAATATAGAACTATAGAAGCCAGAAAATATAGAATATTCTCACTGAAAAATGTGAAGATTTATACATTATTTCGTTTTTTGTATTCGAATAGAAGAAAATAAACATTCTAAACAATGCTCTAGTATCTGTAAAAAAAAGACTTCAACTCTAATTTCCTTCGAAAATGAGATAAACTTCTGTTTCTACTGATAATATGTGAAACAGTTATAATAATTTCTGGTAAAGTAATTATAAAATAACTAATATCTGTTTTCTATGACGATTTTTTTTCTTCGTTTTTTTTTTTGAAAACATGAAAATTGATTGAATAAAATTTTGTTTAGCTGATGAAATGGATAGAATTGAATATAATTATGATCCTCAATATATGATTGAATCAATAAAAGGAAATCAAAGTGAAGCAACACCAACAAAATCATCATCTCATTATGATTCATTAACAACGAATGAAAAGTTTATATTTTATTTTTTTAAACTTTTTTTATTTTTATTTTTATTTCATATTAATTTAGTCAACGATATTCATTAAATAATTATCCAACAACAACTTCATCACGTATTGGTGGAGTTAATTTAATTCGTCAAGATTCTTATATAACAGCTGTACGATCAGCTCATCAAAATGAACAAGGCAATTTTGGTAAGATGAAAAAAAAAACACAAAAATCTATGATTTTGCATTTATTCGAATAATAATAATTCTCTAGTTAATTTGCATGCTTTTGGTCACCTTGATTTTTCCTTCAACCCTGAAACACCTATTCTTCGACGGAAAGGTTTCATAAATATTTGTTTTTTAATGTTATATTTTTTATTATTTTTTGAATAGTACCTCAATATGGAAGAACACAGGATACATCAGAATCAGAATTAAAACAACGTCGAACATCATATTTAATTGCAACTGATCAACGACTAGGAGCAAATCAAGAAGGTTATGTACCTTCGAATTTTGTTAGAACAAATAAAAATGAAAATTATCCTTATGATATTCATCATGAACAACAACAACAACAACAACAACAGAAATTAAGGTTTGAATAATTTTTTTTCATAAAATTAAATAATTTTTTTTTTGTTTGTTTGTAGAAATGTCCCTGATAATCAAACACAAGCAATTAAAAAATTAAAGAATTTTTTTGGTGAAGGAGTAAGAATTAATATTATATATAAATTTATATTTAAATTAAAATAAATTTAGACACCAGAAGTAGCTCATGCACTTGATCATCGATCATTAGTATCTTCACCATCATCATCATTAATTAATCAATCAAAATCTAATTCTTATTTTGATAATATAACAACAGCAACAGCAACAACAACAAATCAACCAGAATCAATATCATTAACAACAATATCTGATAATTTAGAAGCATCAAAAGAAGGAATACTTTATTGTAAAACTGTATTAAAAGATGGTCGTCGTGCACCGGATCGTTCATGGCGTGGTGCATGGGCTGTACTTAGACGTGGTGCTTTATTTCTTGGTAAAGAAAAAAAACATGGATTATTAATTCCACTTTCATATGATTCATTTCCAATAAGTTTACATAATGCTGATGTTGAATTAGCAAATGATTATATTAAAAAACCAAGAGTTTTTAAATTAATAACATCAAATCAAAGTGAATTTTTATTTCAAGCACCAGATTTACAATCTTTAGCTGAATGGTTAGATGCTATTAAAGATAATTGTATATCATCACAATCACAACAAGATAAACAACAATTAATTATTAATAAGAAAGATAAATCTCAAAGAATAAGTACTTCATCATTACCACCTATTGCACCTACACATCATGCTACTAGTGAACAAGAGTATGTATCCATATTTAAATAAAACAATCCTTCG